GTAGGTAACAATTTACTCATAACTAGGTTGCAATATATATATATTGCAACCTAGTTATGAGTAAATTGTTACCTACTAAATATAAATTTTATTTTTATTTGATATAATTATTAATAATAATTATTTATATATTTAATTTCAAAATATAATTTGAAGTATTCATAAATTTATATTATATAATTTGAAATTTATTTATTTAAAGAATTAAAAAAAAAATTATTTTTATTTAAATTCAATTAATATGTAAAAATATAATTAAAGATAATATAAAAATAATCTACGTTAAAAGCTATTAAAGTATTCATTTAAAAAGAAAAATACTTAGATTTAAAGCTATTATAAGTAATTTTATTCATTAAGCATTTTGATATATTAATACTTATAAATTTTTTACTTTTCTATTTTTATCAACTTTACTTGAATTATTACTATTATTTTTTCTAAATAGTTTTTATTAATGAATTTTAAATAATTATTTCAATTAAAGAATCTAAACTAATAAACTTTTTATAAGTTTAAAAACAAGATATATAATGTTATTTATTAATTCTAATCAGAATATAATATTCTCTTATTTTAAATTTTAATTAAAATTTGTTATCAAAAGCAATTATAAGGTTTATAGAAATAATTTATAGTAATTTGTTATATAGATTTTTTTTATATATTAAATTGTAAAAAGTAATAAAATCTTTTAAATGTTTAATTTATTTATATTGTATATAAATATTAAAAATTTTATATGTAATTATTTAGAATTATTACAATTATACTAATCATAATTTTTTGATTTCTTAAATTCTTGGTAATACAAATACATAAATAATATAAAAAGCTATTTTATTATATTACTATCTTACTATCTTACATTATATCCTTTTCTTTTTATGAAATTATTATTTGTGTTAACCGAATAAAATTAGGTTATATTAAGATCAGTTATATAATGATAAATAACCAATTTTGGTAAAACACTCTTATCATTAAAAAAAAAAGTTCTATGTATATTTGTGTTTTCAATTTATAATTGAATTTTTTATATTTTAAAGAATTAATTCCATAAAACACATTATCTTTCTGTCAATATTTTATAACTGTTTGAGGAATATTAGTTTAAAAATCACTTTGACGAAAAATTATCAATATGTCAGTAATTACCCTTTCTTTGTTTGTATAACGATGTACAGACAGTTTATGTCAATCCTGATCATTTCCAGTTTGGGCGTTTGACATTTAAAAATTTTGGATCTTTTTTGTTGAGAAACTGAATTTCACTGTAAAAAAAATTTTTTTTTCTTCAAAAATATACGAACTATTGTTTTTTTTTCTCCTTCATCCTTCATAAATATACTTTTTTTTTTCTTTCAAATGCATGCTGCTTATCCAAATTCTCCTATTGATGACGATGAACATTTTGAGTTCGTTGACTATACTGCAGCTTCACATTGGGAGCGATTCATTACAACTGTCGAAGAAGTTTTAACTGGGTGGGGTGTAAATGATGGTCAACTTGGAATATTTGACGAGTCAAAGTTACCCCCTCTTGGTGATAAAATTTCCACTAAAATAGTTGGAGGCATTGATCCTTTTGTAAAACGAGAGATAATAATTCTTGATGATACTTCATATACTTTATCATATCATTATCACCCAATAAAACGGTGGAATGAATTTGCTATAAACCACCCTCCTGTTTCAAGCGGTTCTACTTTGGACCTTCCACCTCCACCTATTACAACTCTTTTTCCCCCAAATCCTGACCCATTTTTACCGAGTTCAGAATTCCTTCCTGTTTCTTTGCCGAATACTTCACTGGACTCGACATCAATGAATTTAAGTAAGATTCATCGGTGGACAGGTTTAACTCATATCTTGGTATTGACTCCAACAGATATTTTTTCAACTGGAATTTCAAAGTCTACAAGTATAGATCTTAATACTACAAAGATGTTACTATCTTCATTTGCAATTGCGTTTCATAATACGAAATGCAAGCTTCCGGTTTATGTTCCGACTGGTCAAGTTGCGAATTCTTTATATGCAGGTTATATGTGTTTATTTAATAAAGAGGTGAAAAATGTTAATGATGCTAGTGAGGTTGAGATAAGATTCAATACTACATATGTTCGTGATGTCCCAGCTCGGTTTTCACATTTAACAGGTTTAACCGAACTATTTACCGAAAAATTGGATTTAAATAAATTTCCTTTAGGTAAGTGTTAGTTTTTAATAATTTTAAATAATTTTTTTTTTTTTTCACAGAAATTACCTTCCATGCATCAATTGGATTGTAATTTATTCTCAAGTTACCCGTGAACCGTATTATGAAAGTATGATATAAAATTCCAACCTAGATCTGACACATATCGTTTTGATCTGATTCGGTTACACAGATCAAGTCGATGTGCCGGAATTAGACAAAATGCCTCACCTTGGAATCGCCGTAGCTGGGTTATTTACATATGAATTGCAAAATTTGGATGATCAAGATTGGAAAAATCTCGATGACAATGAATTGCAATCTACACCATTGAATTTGTTAAATAATAAGAAATCGTCCTTTGAAGAAAATATTTTTAAAGAATTTGAAAACCATAGTGAAAGAACGTTTGGAAATGGAGAGGCAAAGGATTCTTCTAGATTTTCTCAGACTACCGTTGACCAATTTACCTCAAGAATTGCCTCGGTACCAAATTTACCCTTTGGCCCACCAAATGATCCACTTCAGTCGTTATCACTTACTGCTTTTTTTCCTTCTGCTCCGCGTGACACATATTTGGATAATGACGTGTATTCAGAAGTAGACGCTGTGCGAGCTCCAATTTGGATCCTAGGATGCAACTTTTGTCCCGAACATCAATTACATGCATTACTTTCCAGCATATTGGATACAACTATAATTTCTTTAGATTGTGACGATGAATTTTCCGAAATATCAAATAATTCAAAGGGCAAGCTTCGTAATAAAAGTTTTAAAGGTCAGATCAATGATATACCGGGAACATTCAAAACTTATGATTTAGTTTCTTATGATACAATACGATTTTCAAATTCGACAGCTGATGGAATTGTTGATATGGATGATGTAGATATTGACAACATTCTGAATGTTTTATTTCATCAATTAAGTAATAAAATATTGCCAAATAATCATGATGAACGGATTAATACATTGAGTGATATTCCCTTGTTGTCAGCATCGTCCTTAGGACTTTCCTTTCGCGATGCCAGAACTGTTCCTTATAAATCATTATTATGGAACCTTCTCGAATGTTTATTGGAAACCGTATCTCCTATGACTAGTTCTAGGGGTTCATTTTTAGGATCTTTGAAAATTTTATGGAACGAAATTCTTAGAGAGATTCGTCGACATTGGGAACGAGTTGAACCTTTGCCTGATGTGAATATTTGTAATATGTCAGAAAATGAAAATGTATCATCTATGGTTCATCAAAATGATTTATTACCAATAGATGACAATAAAGTGAGGAATTCTACGGTTGAAAAAACTAATTTGAGAAATGTTGGCATAGATATGAGATATAATTTAATTCATCAAAAGTTATGCATGATGAATTGTTGTACTGCACGAATGCGACAATATCAAAAATATAACCCTATGTTGTCCACAAGTCCAAGTTCCATAAAGCATCGAGTGTCACCAAATAATTCTTTAGATTCTATGTCCAATAAAATGAATAAAAATTCTCCGATGGAACAAAAGCTAATTATAGATCCGTTTGTTCGTTTGTTTGACCATATAACGGGAGATGATGAAATTGCTACACCCGGGACTTCAGCTTCAATGGTTTTAGTTCCCCCGGTAAATTCAAACGGTGCTAGCAACACTGAAGCCAGTACTTTGGCTGAAAAAGAAGTAAAATCCTCATGTGTAAGGAAGATAACATAGATAACGGCGCATCTTGTTTCTTGTTTATCTTGTAAGAAACTGATGTGATGATTTAATATTTTATATTCGGTTTATTAGCATAATCATTCGGCAAGTGTTGACTATGTTTCAATGCCCAGTGTTAAGGAATTGGAAGAAGAATGTTTTGATGCTATTGAAGAGGCAACGTCAACACCTTTAGGGATTCCAAAGGACCAGAAAAATACGATTCGATCAGCTTCTCAACATCGTCGTTCGCCATCTTCATTCTCTCATATTCATTCTAATTCTCCGACAACTTCTTTATTTTCTGAGCAATCTGATCCAAATCCACATGCATCATCTTTATCCGAATCATTCATTCAACTTAATTATTCATCTAGTATGGAATCAAATCAAGAGTTTGAGTTCACGGGTCGAAATAATCGTTCCGAAATGAGCAAAATATCTTTGAATGATGATAAGATCGATAAGGAAGTTAAGGATGAAAATGAGAGAGAAGGTTATTTATACCATTTTAATAATCTTACGCTATTGAAAACTGGCGAGCCATTATGGGTGCCGGAAACTCAGGTACATAAGATTTTACTTTTGATTGAAACTTCTATCAATAAATGGATTAACTTAAAATTTTTTGTAGGATATGGGATTCATGACCGAAGATATGGTACGTGAGCAAGAGGAATTGTTCGAAAATTTAGGTTCTTCAGAGGATGCAGCTAAAATAAGAGCTCAATTACAATCTGCTCATTTGAAATCTGGTAAGTCATATAATAAATAATTTATAGACTTTAAAACAAATTTATATACATACATTTGAAATTTATATATAGATATGCAAGCCTTCAAAGCCGCAAATCCACATGCTGTATTAGAAGATTTTGTTCGATGGCATTCACCACGTGATTGGATTGTTGATGAAAGTGGAGATCCGAACAAGGGAGTACTTAGTTTACGGATGAAAGAGAAAGGAAACCTTTGGCAAGAATTGTGGAAGGTTATTATTCTTATCGCATTTAATTTCATTCTCATATAATGTAGAATTGAATTTAAAGGATCTTATAATTTCAGTCATCAAAAAGAATTCCGGCAAGGCGACAGAAACCCTTGTTTAAGTACACCTGTGAAGGAGAAAAGGTACGATATTTCTATAAAATTTAATTCAATTTTCAAAAAAAAAAATGGTTTCTAATAAGAAAGTTATTATTAGGCACTTCATTATTTGGACAATTTATCAGTTCAGGATTTGTTTAAACAGTAATTAATATTTATTTATTTCTTATTGATAATTTTGTCCATAAACTCAAACAAAATATCCTAAAATCGTGTTATTACATTATTTAGACTTTTACCTACTATATTCCTTATTGCATATGACTCGTTGGTCTCCCAATCTGTTTCCAAAAACATTAAACCAATATCATCTAGTTTAGCAGCTTTGGCACAAGAATTACTTGATTTTCCATGGAATGATATAGGGTATGAAATATTTAAACATATCGATGAGATTTTAATATGTTCAATCTTATATAACCTTACAAATTTGAATATTATGATACATTAGAACTAAAAATATTGTGTGTGATGGATTAATACAATCATTTAGGCAGAATGAAATGCTTATTGGTAAAGCGATATCTCTTTTGCGAAAGGTAATTAATCAGTACTGCAATAACTTGAAATAAAGTGATTTATATTTAATTTAACTTGATTTAATTACATTTTTAGTTACCAAATCAATATAATTTAGTAGCAAGGTTACTAGAAATACCCGAAACGCAAGTTTTAGACGGAAAAGAACGTGAAACAGTTTATGGGTTATTTGCTAATGGAGGTTTGCAATTCAAGTTAGATTCTTAATTAAGTATCTTGTGAAAATTTTTAAATTTATTCTTTTTTTTTTTTTAACAGCACCGCTAAATGATTCGTTTCCACATCCTACAAAACGCGAATTTGTATTACAAACAACGTGTTTACGACCAACCCCAGTTCCGGCAAGGATGTATGTTTCATTAGATGATTCTGGAATGAGAATCGTAGATATGGTTGGAAAAGACACAGTATTTATGTAAAATCAATAAACAAAACTATATAGTATATAATATTATTATTCCCCACAAAAGTAGTACATTTAATAAGAATTTTTTATATATAATGTTTTATGTTTTAATATTTTTTTAATATGGAGGAAAAAAAAAATATAGAAATCGGATTAAATATAATTATTTATACAGGAATTTAAGTTTATTAATTGAAAATAAATCGTAACAAAAAAATTATTATATCTAAATTAGTATAATTAATTGTATAATTAACATAATGCTTTTTTTGCTAATAATATTTAAATAAAGATTATATTCTTAAATTGCTAAAATTTGTAAAACGAGAGAAAAAATTTAAGCTTTTATATTACAATACTGTATAAAAAATCTTATTAAATTATTTGATAAAGTTAATTATATTTTTAATAATTAAAAAAAATTGATTATAAAAGATTTTAGTAATTAAATAATTTAATTAATAAATAAACTTGAATGAATTTAAAGCATTTTATATCTTGTAAAAATTTTTAATATTTCTTTTAAATAGATAAGCACTTTGCAGTAAAAAGATATAAACTACAAAAAAGTTAAATCTTTACTTTATATACTATTATGATTTTTTACTAAATAAATTCAGATTTAACATTAAATTTTAAAAAAAAACACTTTTTTTTAGAATTATAACTCTATTACAAAATGCCTATATAGACAATCCAAAAAATATAAGATATAATGATATAAATTATATGAAAGGTTTACTAGAAAAATGGGATTCTAATTAAAATTTTAATAAAAAATGCTTAGAATCCTATTTTTCTAGCAAATCTACTATATAAAAAAATATAATATAATCAGACTTATTTATAATTAAATATTATATAAAAACCTTTTTATATTAAAACCAGTTATGATTAAATTAATAAAAAAATATCTTTATATTATATTATCATAATATAGTAAAACCTTTTATAAATACATATCTTGAAAAATTACTATGTAAATAAAATTGGTGATTATAAATATCTTATAAAAAATTTCTGCTTAAATATTTCTATTATTTCTTTAGAACTTAAATAAAATTTCTATAAATATGAGTTTTTCATAGAATCTATATAAATAATATAAAAATTTCTGTGATTTAAAATTATAAATTCTGTAAAAATAAGTCTTCATAAAAATTTTTTTATAAGGATAAATCTGATTGTATAAATATAAAAAAATATAAAACTAACATTTCTTATAAATAAAAAAATTTAACAAAAAAATTAAATTATATTTAAAATAACTTATTTTATTAATAAAAATTATGATTTTAGTAGATTGCAATATATATATATATTACAACCTACTTGCATTAAGTTATTACCTACTTATAATTATATTATTACCTACTTATGATTATATTATTACCTACTTACTGTTTTTGATATTCTATGGCTTTTTTATTATCAAAATGTTATTCACATAATTTCACCTTTCTGTATTCTTTTTGTTACCTTGTAGCTATCTGCTTGATTTTATCACTCTAGTCCCTTTTTATTATAAAGAAACTATTCATGTATTTACAATGTTTTACATTATTTTTGTTTCTAAAAAGCTATTCACTTATTTTTCTGCTTCTGAGTCTATTTGAATTTTAGCTTTTATGTTGAGATGCTTACCCTTTACACCTGTTTGATTACCTGTTAGAATATCAAATTATGATAAAAAAAATGCATCAAATGACGCAGTAAATTTACGATTAAATTTTGACGACTTTATGCCATAATTCCAAACAATCTTTTGAATATGTAATTTGGAGATCTAGCTTAGTGTTATGGCAGTAACTTGGTAGTATCATAGAATTCTTCTGGAACTGTCATAGAATTGGAAGAGATTCAGAGAGGTTCTATTAGTTTGCAGTTTTATGCTAGTTCGGGTGCTAAATTATTATATCCAAAGTTTTTGCTGAAGTTATAGAATAGTGCTAGCCGAAATTATTGTTGATTTACTGCTCTAATATGAATAATTGCAAAAGATACAACTCTACATATGTTGTTAGGAGAACCATATGATAGTGCTCCCAGAAGGTTCTGTATCAAGTAATATGTTATGTATATATTACTGGGAGAATCATATAACATACTTTATCTATGTTATTAGGAGAATCATATGATAACGCTCTCAAAAGGCTCTGTGTCAGACGACATATGAGTTAGTACGTACAAAAATCATGCTGCGGAACTATATAAATCATATAATCAAAACCTGATTTTTGTACGTACTAACCCATATAGCGAAATCTGGTAAAAATTATATCTTGATATTATCTTATGATACTAACAACTGAAAATTAGTATTGACGCAAGATTAACAAAGGATTTAGCTTTAAGACTTTACAATGCGATTTATGGAGAGCTTCTGAAGGTTTATCGATCAAATGTATTTTAAAAGACAAGTATGATTTATGGGTTAAGTAATTTAGAATTTTATTAAAGAAAAGAATTATTACAAATGTATTTGTTTGCATACAAGTGTTTTAGTAATTATCTTGTTAACGATAAAACTAAGTAAATTCTCTGTCATTTATGAAGTTCTAAAGCTATCCTATTTATAAGAAATAAAATAATAATAATAAAATATAAATAAAAATAAGAAATGTAATAATTGGTCTTTCATTGTATACCTAACATATATTACATAAATGGCAGATATAGTTAATCTGGCAGATCTGGCAGATTTGGCATTTTCCACAGATCTGCCAGTTTTGGTTGATTGGATAGATTTTGAAGATCTGCTAATTTTAGTTGATTGGATGGATTTTGTGACAAATTAAAATCATGTGATCTATAAGATAATTTTTTTAATTTATTACAATATTTCAAATATCAGGACAGATTTTTATTAAAAATAACAAAATTGTTTTTTATATTCTGAATATCAAAGGCTGATTTTTGTTAAATAAACAATTTGTTTTTTTTAATAATAAAATGTTCTTCTTAATGTTGAAGATAAATTTTTGTTAAAAAAATAATGATTTATTATTAATTTTAATAATAAAATGTTTTGAACATCAAAGATAGGCTATTATTAAAAAAAAAAATTTTTGATTTGTAAATTTCAGATTTGTTAGATTTAGATTGAATTTAGATTTGAATTTGACTGATTTGTTAAATTCAGATTCAGATTTATCAGATTCAGATCAGATTTTATCTAAATCTAATCTAATCTGATTTGTATAGAATACTAAATTTAGGTCTTATTCTAATACAAGGGTTAGCTGTAATCTGAATTAATAAACTTCTTAAGTTAAGTCTAAAGAACCTCTATTAGAACATAGTGTTTGGGTTTACCTGTGTCAGATAGTAACTATAACTTGAAATTGATTAAGCATCTTAATTAGAAACTTAAATAGTGTAAATTATTTTTATATACTTTCTATATGTACCAATTTTTTCTTCTTTTTGAAGGTATTATAATAAGCAGTTTTTTTATTTAGTATTTGGAATTAAAGGATATATAGAATAACTCATTACTATATATTACTGCTCATTTTTAGTGATGATGAAATTTAGTTGAAATTGTTAATTTTAGTTTGATAGAATCATTAAACAATATCTAGTAAAATA